GTATAATTGCAATTTTCGCATGCAATACAAAAGTGTACAAAATTTGCAAACTTTGCAAGGCTATATTTTCCGTATTTTGCAACAATTCGCAACCAAACTTTGCAATAATTTACTTATTTTAATATGCTCTTTCTAGCTGTGGTGATTTATTTGCATCAAGGCCGGATTTTGAGGGAAGTGTGGAGAAGTGCGCACCTCCCCAGAGATCGTTTTGCACCTCCCCTGAGAATTTTTCCACCTCTCTTGAAAGGTCATGCACTTCCCCTTGGGAAAGTTTCAATGATGGAACAAAGTGAAAATGTGATGGTTGCTTAGGATCTACACTTTGTGACATAAGAAAGTTTTCTCTGTAAAATTGAAACAGTGATAGCCATATCAAGCACCCTTTTAATGCAATGTTTTGAAAGAAACAGTGTAGCAATTGTAATGAAGGGCAAGATTGGAGTCATACATTCATAATTCATTAATACACTGGTACATATTATGTACACTACATGCATACCTCACCTCATTGATATTGGCCTGTTCTACAATAAGCCCTAACTTTACATGGGAGTTATGAGCTAGACCCAGGGCCGTAGGAAGCTCTTTTCGATTGGGGGGGGGGGCTGAAAGCGAGGGCCGAAGGCCCGAGGAAATTTTAAAATTTAGAGTCTCTAAAATGCCATTTCCTGGACTTTGGGGGAAGATTTAACAGAATTCTGATAGTCAGAAAACAGCGTTTTAGTATGTCGAAATTTACAGGGAAGTATGGGCCAGACTGTAGTATTATAAATGCGCGGCGGGAATTTTCGTCGTAAATGGCAGTTGCGCGGAAATGAAGGCAGAACATTTGAGAAAATTTCGAAAATCTGGAGTCTCTAAATGGTCTGAAATGGCATTTTCAGAGTTTTCTTTCGCAAGACCCAACACGCAAAAGACAAAATAAATCATTAGTTCATCAAAAATGTGCAGATTTTGTGGGATTTTCTTGAAAATGCGCGACAGAAATTCAGCTAAAATTTCTACGCGAGGAACGATCTGGAGTATGAGTAATATCTTCATTCTTGGGGCAAATTATTGGGGGGGCTGCAGCCACCCCAGCCACCCCGGTTGCTACGGCCCTGAGACCGCTGCACCTCTCCTAAAATTTTTGTCCACCTCCCCCACTATTTTCACCAAAATCCGGCCTTGATTTGCATCTTTTTGCCTAGTTCTAAAATTAGTCTATAATGGGAATTGTCTATTTACATGAACACTAGAGACTTTTTATTTGACTTCCATTTATGAATATTAAAGTCTATAAATATTGTTATTTGTTGTTAAAGGTGATCTACAGTCCGTATGTAAACAAAGCCTTTGTTTACATTTTTGTGTCGAAAATATTGAGCTTTATTCGACAACTATTTATATTTTCAAGCTTCTAGAGTATAATAAATGATCAAGAAACAACAATTAGGCTTTTCAAGAACTCAAAACATAGTTAAACTGTTTGTATCATAAAAAGTGGGCTCATTTGTGCACATGCGCAGATCGGACTGTAGATCACCTTTAAGTTGTTTTGTGATACCTTTTTAAAACTACTAATGTTTTTTCAAACTGGTAAATATTTTCAAAGCCCCCCTTCTTTCGTATCTCTGTATTTTTTCAAAGCCCCCCCTTTCAGGTTTTGAAAAATTTAAAGGCCCCCCCAGTTTCTCCTCAATCCCCCCCTGTACAATAAATAATGAGCGGTCCCTTATTGATGCTCTGTAATAGTAATATAATAATATTGTATATATTTTTAAATTAAACTTTTTTAAATGTTGAATAAATCTAATTTGTAATGAAAATTAATAATGCACATAAGAACATGTTTAATAAAATAATATATAATTATTGTTTGGTGTGCTAGATCCTTAATTAACTAATCCGTTGCCTGGTCAAACAATATCATTCTATTGCCATGAATTGCCATCGGATATAACAATGATTCCAGTGACAAACGTAGAGCCATATACAGTTGGGTATTTATTAGTGCAGATTTACTTTCCCCATAATGTGCACAGAGTACATTGTGAGTAGACATGATCAACAATGTACAGTTTCCATAATCTGAAAAATACAAACAGCAGTAAATATTTAGATGATACATGCATAAATTAGTTTTGTTTCAACAAAGCATGGCTGTGTTCACAAATTTATACATTAAACTAATATATATAGTAGAAATGCAAAAGGAACAACATACTTTTTATACAATTTGAAAGAGAATTATGCACATATCAACAGCCTGCCCGGGGGGTACACCCTCGGGACAAATGGGCGGAAACGAGGGGGAATTTGGCAGCCTAGACCTAGGCCTTCTATTTTTATTTATATTTTTTTAATATTCAGCGCTTTTTCACATGAAAAGACTGGGACTAGGTAATTTGGGGGCGGGGCGGAGGAAGGACACAAGCCTGACGCAAGCGAAAATATAGAAGGCCTAGTGCAGCCTAGACCTAGGCCTTCTAGTCTTATTTATATGTTTTTAATATTCAGCGCTTTTTCACATGAAAAGACTGGGACTAGGTCATTTGGGGGCGGGGCGGAGGAACCAAGCCTAGAAGGCCTAGTTGATTTCCCAACAACAAGGCCAAAACTGCCCTGAAACTGCCCTGGTTGCGAAATGCCCAATTATTGCGTTCTCAAACAGAATTATTTGCAACTTAACAGCGAATTTAAACCGATGCAGGTAAAATAAACTCATTTATAGTATAAACTTACTATTTTTATTTGAATACATGTCGAGAAAATCGGTTTTTTATCATAAAGTTCGAAGCAACACTATTATTTAATATGTTGACAAGGTGTAGCGAAAGAACAAAATGAGTCAAAATATATACCAAAAGTAGAATCTTTCATGAAATTTTGTCTTATACACAAGTACATTAATATATATTTTCTCAATTTTGGCAAAAAGCAGTCTTGTGTTTGTAAAATATACAAAATAAAACGGATACATATATTATTAGCCCGTACAGTACTGTATATAAAAACGTACATTGTTTATACAAATGGTATATCTGTAATATTTGAACACTATTAATTTCAAATTCCTCATTCCCAATTCGCAAATATAGTTATTCAAAGCAAAACAGTAGATTGTCTTGCGAATAAAAGAATTATTATTTTGTGCCGTTTCGCTACACCTTGTCAACATATATAAATAGTGTTGTTTCAAACTTTATGATAAAAAACCCAATTTTCTAGACGTGTATACAAATAAAAATAGTAAGTTTATACTATAAATGAGTTTATTTTACCTGTATCGGTTTAAATTCGCTGTTAAGTTGCAAATAATTCTGTTTGAGAACGCAACAATTGGGCATTTCGCAATCAGGGCAGTTTCAGGGCAGTTTCAGGGCAGTTTTGGCCTTGTTGTTGGGAAATCCACTAGGCCTTCTAGGCTTGCTTCCTCCGCCCCGCCCCCAAATCACCTAGTCCCAGTCTTTTCATGTGAAAAAGCGCTGAATATTAAAAAAATATAAATAAGACTAGAAGGCCTAGGTCTAGGCTGGGCCTAGTGGATTTCCCAACAACAAGGCCAAAACTGCCCTGAAACTG